AATTATCTCAAGTACATGGAATCATTACTTCATGCACTCCTTGCAAGATCTGATGCTGCATTTTTGCATTGTTGACCTTGCATGACGTCATTTATGACGTCACTAGGGTCAGACGAGTTTTTCGTCAATAACTCCCGATCAAATTGAGCTAGAGAGTCGACAAGGTCACCAATGGACTCCGGAAGACCTGCCGAATCGAATGATATGCGATATGACCTCCTTCGACCAGCTTCGTGATTTGAAGACCTGTGACCTGACCTTGACTCGAGGTCAAGGTCAGGTTGACCTTACGGTGGCCTCACCTGAACAAAAGTATACCATTCGACGCGCCTGAGCAAGGCGAACACGACGATGTCAAAATCGTGGTTCTGCGGCCATTTTTTGCGAAGTTATTTACCAAAAACCAAACCCGCTGCTTGGGTCACGTTATGAAACGGGGCCTTGCCGGGCGAGATTTACGCTGTTTCATTATATGTATAAATTGGTAGGGCATAATCATTTGAATAAAAAATTGGTTTGGAAGCAATTTTCTACGGAGGTACACACCATTTCAATGTCCTACCCAGCTAATACCGTCATAAATTTCGACCTACCCTCAAAAGTATTCATGCGTTATTCGAGCAGCAATTAGGCAAATTGCAAGCTCGCCACAGAGCACTAATCCTATAAGAGATAGTCCTTATTTAAAACATATGCTCATTGGATATTCAAGAAGGTTGCTCCTAAATATTGTGGTTCTAGCTTCAAAAACATGGATGTTATGAATGCCGATAAGTTTCGCGAGGCTACACCGGCCGGATCGCCCACTGTGCACTGGGCTGAACTTAGGTCACGAATATAAAAAATCCGAGATATACAAATTATAGGCGCCCATACCATCATGCAATCCACCAAGTTTCAAACCTTTCTGACAACCTTTCTCCCACCGGTCCCATGAGTGGGACCGGTGGGACTGTCTCTGCCGACTGTCCCTACCCCATGAGTGGGACCGGTGGGACTGTCTCTGTCGACTGTCCCCTACCCCAGGAGTGGGACCGGTGGGACTGTCTCTGCCGACTGTCCCTACCCCATGAGTGGGACCGGTGGGACTGTCTCTGCCGACTGTCCCTACCCAATGAGTGGGACCGGTGGGACTGTCTCTGCCGACTGTCCCTACCCAATGAGTGGGACCGGTGGGACTGTCTCTGCCGACTGTCCCTACCCCATGAGTGGGACCGGTGGGACTGTCTCTGCCGACTGTCCCTACCCAATGAGTGGGACCGGTGGGACTGTCTCTGCCGACTGTCCCTACCCAATGAGTGGGACCGGTGGGACTGTCCCTGCCGACTGTCCCTACCCAATGAGTGGGACCGGTGGGACTGTCTGCCGACTGTCCCTACCCCATGAGTGGGACCGGTGGGACTGTCTCTGCCGACTGTCCCCACCCTATATGTGAGTGTCTGTTTCTGCGGCGGCCGCTGAGCCCCCAACCCTGTCCTTCTCCTCTCCCCAGTCCGCTGTGCAGGGTCGCTCGAGGTCACGTGGTCAACTGGCTGTCTTCTCCAATGCACCTTGTATTCGTCGATGGACCTTACACACCACCGTGCAGTCACATTGCTCCGACCCGACTCCCCTCCGTGCCGTCCGACGCGCCGGCATGGCCCCACAACTGGGACAAACGGCCGCCGGGGACGCTCCTATGTCCGATGTTCGTCTCCGTCCACACCGGAGAGGACAGGGCAGGCGGCGGCCGGCCGACGCTGCCCGCGGCGCCGAGGTGACAGCCTCAGACCTCGCTGCTCCCAGTACGCTACACTGGTCAGGCCGGGCCGGCGGCGGCGTGCCATCGGCCGCGGCCAGCCGGCCTCCCCGTACTGACCACTCACTCACATACAACACACCTGCCCCTGTTTATCGAGAAACATACACAACATACGCTCTGAACTATGTAATCAGCAGTCACGAACGAATAACGATGGTCTTCCATAACTCAATAGTCTCAAATGTTAAGTTTTTAATTGCCGTTTAACTGCCGTTTTTACGTTATTTGCGAAAAACCTTAGGGAGGGTTGATCACCCCCCTCGCCGGGCGAGGGTTAAATGCCTCAGTGTACGGCCGACCCGGACAGAAATTCCGGCCTGGGTGAGGGTCAGCTGCCCCCCCCCCCTTCAGTCCCCCTTTGCCTGCGACACGGATCCAACCTGATGGCCGGTGTAACGCTTATCAGTTATCGTTAGACCCACAGTGTATATAAATACAGTGGCGGCAAATGCGCTTGGTCACGTGACCAAATCTGCACGTGCGGTTGTGGCGAGGGCACTTCCCGAAACTCTGGTGCCAACGGCCTCGCGGCGCCCATAGAGAATACATGGGACCTTTTCTTTTCAGACCTATCGTGTCTAAACCAAGCCATTTAGTGCAAGGATACGACTGGTTTGAGATTCAGTAGTCTTTTGGCTACAAGTTGGCATAAGAAACGTATTTTTATCGGCAAAATTCGCAAAGTACCAGGTGGTTTTCCGATACCCTGCACGCCTCCTTTCCCCGGCGGCCGACCGGAGGAGTCAGTAGCGCTCCACTCACGACTTTTGGCGATAGCTCAAAACACCTTACAGCTAGAGGGCTGCTATTTGGCACACCTTATCTTTGCTTCCATACGCATCTTTGGAAACCAATTGCATTTCCGTCTCAGGTCAGGTCACTGACTTATGACGTCACACGTGAACCTCTGCAACAGTCCCAAAATACCGAAACTTCGCAATGCCCTCGGTGCCAGAGGAGCTGTCACAGCGAGATGATACTTACAGGACCTAGTATCCTCTAGGAGTCTCAAAACTTGTATATCTCGGATTTCTCCTAGAGGTCACATGAGGTCAGGCCGATCGCGCGACGTCAACATAATGGGGAAAATATGGAAACTGTTATTTTGACGTCGAGAATGATCTAAACCTAGCTCAAGCACTTGAAATCGCAATTTCATGCAATTCTTGCAATGTCCAATGCTTCACTTTTGCATCTTTAACCTTGCGTGACGTCATTCATGACGTCACAAATGTCACAAGTTTTTTCGTCAATAACTCCTGATAAAATTGAGCTGGCAAGTCGGAAAAGTCGCCAATTGACTCGGGAAGACCTACTGAATCGAATGATATGCGATATAACCTCCTCCGACCAAGTTCGTGACCTGAGTGCCTCTGACCTGGCTTTGATCCGATGTGAACACCTTATGTTGACCCCACCCAAACAAAAGTGTACCATTTTGACGCACCGGAGCATGACAAACATGATGGTACTAAAATCGCGACTCTGCGCCGTTTTTTTTTTACAAAGTTATTTTTCAAAACCCGAAATCGTATTTTGGCCCTCGGGGCACTTGACCTGACCCTCAGAGGCCATCAGTTGACCTGAGACTTTTAAACCGTGCATCAATCGCTGCGTCCCCGGTCCCGTAACGGCACACATGCTCGTTTTTCCCGCGAGGCTAGCTCAATTAAGGCGAGGGAGTCGTACCCGCCCACTCTCGCGGCTGGGGCGTAGGTATGTAAAAAAAAAACTAAGAAGTCTGGTGATGATTGATGCAAGATTCTTACAGATAATGGTAGATGAAGGTAGGGCATCAGTTATTAAAGATAGGTTAAAAACAAGTTTGCAGCCCTCAGTAGCATTGATTTATGCATTAAGAGTTATAGAATAGAACCATAGGCGGCGGAACGGGGAGGGCACCGGGGCACCGTGCCCCCTATAATTTTGGCATTTTAACATTAGCCCTATGGGCGTTGCATGGAAAGAATCGGACCGAAAGTCGGCAGTGCCCCCCCCCCTTAATTGAAGGTGTTCCGCCGCTACTGTATAGAACAACTGTAAGCTGCAGGCTCAGCTTTTCAGTTTCTACCTATGCCTGCAAACACAATAAAATCAATGGAAGAGTAATAATAGATTGATTGCATTTTATTGATGCTATTCAAGTATCAATGGTAACTATGTCACCGATGATTCAATATTATTTGCACTGTATCGTTTACCACCACACGCCTAAATATTTAGTATCTAAAATAATGCAGTAAAATAAGCTGCGCCACGTCTGTCGACAAAACCTGGTGCCAACTCAAGGTCACACGGAAAATGTGGTCACGTGACCAATGTCCGGCAGCTGGTTAGACCAATAGTACATACATACCGGGCCTCTGTCTATCTGAGACGCTGTTGCACGGGACTGGTCTGATAGTCGGAGCCACTGCAGGCCGATAGTGGCAATCTGGGAGCGGCGTCTGCTCAGGACTATCTGGGTGGAAGCTCAGACAGACGCCGCGTCCATCCGTCAGACGCCCGCTGCTGCCGACCCGTCCAAGGTAAGTCATGGGTGTGGTGAATTAACAATAAAAATAGCCGGTTCGTTGTCAAGAAAGAGTTGAATTGATTTTACTTTATATTATCTTCGGCGGCGGCGACTCTCAGCAACACGTGGCGGCGACACAATCACGGCGGCAGTCAGGGCGGAACTCAACCACGAGGACGAAACGGGGGCGAAATCAACTCGGTTTATACAGCGCAATGTGAAGGATTCAGGACGGGCTACCAGACAGAGGATACTTTAAAAGTCGGAGAGGAAACTAGTATAGGCACGGGGAGGATAAAGGAAAAGGGCTCGAACACACGACATACTCCCCACCCGAAGTAACTCGGGTTACTTCGCAAAAGCCAATGCTCAAGCGTCGGCAACACAGGGCGGACCGCGAGCAGCCAGCTCGGCGCTTCGCGACGGTACAAGTGCGCAGACAGACGCACAAACAAATCACAGCGCTTAAACCCGTCTCGACACTTCACATGACAGACTGAGCACAACCACGTGCAATCAGCGCACACAGAAACGGTACTCTGGTTCTGACGCGCGCACAACTCGGCACTCTGACACGTCAGTCGCCATTCCGAGCTCACAACTCGGCACTCGGGCACGTCAGTCGCCATCCCGCGCACACACCGACAGGCGCGCGGACGAGAGTCTTACTCGGCGGCCTCCAGACTGAAGAGTCGGGAGATTGGTCGCCGCGTTAGTTTGCCGCGCACACGGAGAAAAGCCGCTCGGCAGCGGCCGTCCGGTCCCGGGATGAGCGAGACAACCCGGGCGAGGGGCCACGTGCCCCGGCGTCCTTCGCCCTGAAGCAGGACGACCTCGCCGACCGCGGGCAGGCGAGTGGGGCGGCCGCGCGGTGACGCGGCCCAGCCTCTCAGCGTCTCGAGGTACTCGGTCGTCCACCGACGGACGAGACGGTCACTCACACGGCGCCGGTTACGCCAGGTCCTGCCCACATGGGAGTCAGAGTCAAGACTGGGACAGACCACACCGGAGATGGTGGTAACCCCAAACAACAGGTGAGCCGGGGTAAGTAGATCATCTCCATCACCAGGGGTCAGGGGCCTCAGGTTGAGATGAAACGCAAGTTCATACAGCGTCACAGCCAGTTCATCATACGACAGGTGACATTGGTGCAACGTTATCTTCAGGGCGCTCTTGGTCACACCGACGAGCCGTTCCCAGAACCCGCCCCACCACGGGGCGGCCTCGGGGATGAAGCGCCACTTGACTGACCGCGGCACATGACTGACGAGAGCACGGAAAGTACGGGCATTGTCACTGACAATCAGACTGGGCGTTCCTCGCAGGGCCATGAAACGCCTGAGCGCCAGGGTGAGATCAGCGGCGCTCTGAGACCGCACCAGTTCCAGGTGTACGGCACGAGATGAAGCGCAGGTAATCAGCAGCGCCCACACTTTGGTGTCTCTATCCACATACAGAGGGCAAAAGTAATCGATTCCCACCTTGGAGAATGGGCGCGAGACTTCTGACCTGAATGCAGGCAGACGGCCGTCCGCAGCTCGGTAGGGCAGTCCTCTGTACCGCCGGCACCTGAAGCAGGTCCCCAGCACTCGGCGCACCGTCCTCCTGCGGATGAAGTACTCGCCCGACAGGAGCGCGAGCGTCACTCTCGTTCCCTGGTGAAAACAGCGGCGATGCGCCTCGTCAACGATCAGCACAGTGATATGTGCCCACTCCGGGAGAACGATCAGCGGCGGCTCATTGGTCCTTGGCACGGAACACAACAGTCCATCACCGCTGATGCACAAGACACACTTGGCTAACGGGGAACTCACCGGCAGCAGAGTCCCGTTTCTCACCGCACGCAGCTCCTCCGGGAAGGCGCGCCGCTGGGCCTCCCGGATCCAGTACACGAGCGCCTCTCTTCTCTCCTCTGGCGACAGCGGTCCGGACTGACGCTCAGTCTCAGGACTCCGGGCGTTGTGGACGAACCTCTTCAGCCACGCGATCCTGTTCACGGCGGATCCAAGATCTGAGAAATCGGTGGCCTGGAACGCGTCATCAGCAGTCTCTACCGACGGCACGTTCTGCATCACAGGATGGCTACGAGTCACAGGAGCCACCCTCCTCTCCTCCACGTCGGCCTCAGGGCTCACCGTCTCCACCGGGTCTGGCTGAGGAGGCAGGTCAGAGGTCACGAGGAACGGCGGGCCGTTCCACCACTTCGCAGACTCTGCGAGCTGAGACAGGGTGATGCCCCTCGTACCCAGGTCGGCTGGGTTCTCAAGCCCTCGGACAAACCGCCAGCGGTCAGGATCGGTCAGCTCTCTGATGGCAGTCACACGGTTCTGAACAAACACGCGGAACAGTTTGTCACTCTTGATCCAACACAAGACATCTGTCGAATCAGTCCAGTACGTCACACTGGGTGCTGACAGACACAGTGACTCAGTCACGAAGGCCATAAGTCGGGCCCCGGTCAGCGCCGCCATCAGCTCGAGCCGGGGGACAGTCAGGCTCGGGTTGATCGGCGCCAGTCGTCCCTTGCAGATCAACAACTGTGACTCCCCACCCTGAGAGACATACACAGTGGCACAGTAGGCGGTCTTGGAGGCATCACAGAAGACATGATACTGCGTGCCCAGACTGGTCTCACCGATCATCGCAGCACGCGGGAAGGAGACTGTGCTGCCGGCAGAATCTTGCCACCAGGCGGCGACCTCAGCTTGCAGCGCGTCGGGCAGCGGCTCGTCCCACGTCAGCTCCACCGACCAGGTCCGCTGGAACAGAGCCTTCCCTCTGACCAGCCACGGGGTGAGCAGGCCCAACGGGTCAAACGGCTTTGCCACTGCAGAGAGAAGCTCACTCCTGGTGCGAGGACACAACATCTCAGGCACGGTCACAGCGAGTCGGTCAGTCTCGGTGTTCCACGCCAGACCCAACACTTTTGAGTCCTCGGAGGACACATCACCTGTGGTGCGGGTCTTGTGCAGCTCCATCCTGGCCTTGCTGAAGACGCTGCTGACTTCCTTCATCCCAGCAGCCGCCTCTTCTCTGGTGCCGAACGTCGGGCACAGGTCGTCCATGTAGAGCGCTCCCTGCACCTTCTGCATCAGCTCCGGCTGGGAGACAAGGCACTGGCGGACATGGCAGCACACAGTGCGCAACAGCATGTACGGCGAACAGGATACGCCGAACGGGACCCTCTGAAAGCGCAGGTGGCGGTCTCCCCACAGGAACTGCACGTAGCGCCTGTCCTCCTCCTTCAGGACGATCTGGTGGAAGGCGGCTCGAATGTCTGCCTGGCAACCAACAGCATTGGTGCGGAAGTTCAGCAAGACAGAGGGAAGACGGCTCAACAGGTTCTCCCCCGGGCTCAGGTACTCGTTCAGGCTCCTCCCGGTGGCATCAGGAGCGGACCCGTCGAAGACCACTCTCAGTTTATCACCACGGACAACACCCCGGTGCGGCAGGAAGAAGGCGTCATCAGGGTCATCTGTGAGAGGAGCATGCTCAACCACACCGTTCACAATCAACTCAAAGATATGACGATCATACCTGTCGAGCTCGTCGGTACTCATCTTGGAGACCAGACGTCGGGTGCGTAGCTCCGTAGACGTCAGGTTGGAGGCCGGCCTGCTGTCCGACTTCCAGAGCAGACCCATCTCGTAACGCTGCTCCTCTGGGTTCCAGGTCGGCTCAGGTGGCGCCTCGTCTGCAGTCTCCTTCGCCGAGATTCCCACGGCGTCCAGGCTCCACATCCTCTCCACGTCGGCCAGCTGACAGCGGTAGACGCGCCTCTGTTCAGTCTGCTGGTTCTGTGCCTGCCCATGGAGAACATGACCAAACACAGTCTCAATCAGGCGCAGTCCGGGCCCAACCTCCACTTGGTCCCACATCACAACCTGGTAGATCTGATCACACCCGATCAACAGATCCACAGGCCCCTCACGGTAGTCGTCAGCGAGCACGACACTTGGGGGCAGCGACAGGTTCTCAGGCAGGCTGTACGTCCCAACAGGTACACACAGGCGATCAGTTTTCCAAAAAGACAGTGTGGCCTCACCTCCTTGTCTGCCAGTTAACTTAGCTGACACTCGGTCGTACACTCTGGCCTCCTCAGTCCTCTCCATGAACCCGACGCAGGCGAAGACTCCCTGCTCCTCAGTCTCCAGGCCCAACTTCTCTGCTAGAGACGACCTGATAAACGAAGAGTCAGAGCCTCCATCGATGAGTGCGCGCACCTGGCACACACCTCCCGGTCCACTGACCTCTACCAACACGGTCTGAACAAAACAGCTGTTCTGAGCGTTCACATTGTAAAGGCGCTTACCCTGACCAGGGCTGGTGGCTTGGCAGGGCGGCTGGACGGCAGCTGCGCTGGGCGACTGGACGGACGGGCCGACGGCAGAGGTGTGCCCAGTCACTTCACCTCCAGACGGCTGCTCAACAGGCGCTCTCTCTGTCCACGCTGGCGTCTGACTGTCCTGGAAGGTCAGATGGTCAGGCCAGCCAGGCGACCATGCAGCAGCAGCAGCAGGCGCTGCACACGTTACAGCGTGCATCGAGCGGTCAACAGCACGAGGCGGGTGGGGCGCAGCAGGCGACTGACGAGCAAAGCCCTGGCGAGCCGGTGCAGCAGGCGGGCGCACAGGGGCAGCAGGCGGGCGCACAGGGGCAGCAGGTGGGCGCACAGGGGCAGCAGACCCTCCCGCATCATGCAGAGATGAGTGGTGAGCCTCACCACACCTTGGACATGCAGAGCTCGTGCACACTCGCACCATGTGTGGCCCGAGACACTGATAACACAGGCCCTCCTGCCTGACGGCCCTCCAGCGTGAGGCAACATCCATGCTCCTGTAAGTGGGGCATGCAGAGAGGCCATGCCTCCCATTCTGGCACACTCCACAAACCCAACCAGCCCTGCCTGACCTGCCTTGTATCCTGAGGACACTGGTGGCTGACCTCGTTGATCTCGGCTGGGACGTCTGACTCTGGTGAACAGCTGGGCTGGCGGCTGGTGTCCCTTGTGCAGCTGCATCCTCTCTCATCTGCACCTCCTTCTGCAGAAACTGCAGGAAGTCTGGGAGGTTCTCGGAGACACCACTCTGCGCTCTCATCCACTGCAGCTTCCACGTCTCTGGGACACAGGACTTCAGCACAGGCATGAGAAGCACAGAAAACGACTCAGCAGTCACACCCATCGTCTCCAGTGCACGAACATCAGACACCAAACCATCCACCATCTGACGCAGCTGCAGAAGGTCATGGTCATCAGGGACACAGCGAGTGTTCAACAGTCTCTGCATCAGTGACTCCCTCAGCAGGTCCGGACGGTCAAACCTCTCCTGTAAGGTTTCAATGGCCTTGACATATCCAGCATCAGTCAACGGCAGTCCCTGGATAGCTGCATGCGCCCTCCCAGTCAGGTACAATTTCAAGTGTACAAACTTTTCCACTGGGGAACAAGCTCTGTTGTCATGAACAGCAGTTCTGAACAGGTTCCAGAACTCAGGCCATGTGTCAACTGCTCCGTCAAACTTAGGCAGCTTTAGCTCAAGTTTAAAAGCACTCTGGCGCTCATGCAGTACTGGAGCAGAAGCTACTCCCCTCTCGAGCCTGGCTAGAACACGCTTAGCCTTGAAGAGAGCATCGTACGCATCCTGCATGTGTGAGCTATCATCCTCGATCCCATGTTTGTCAAGTTCACATTGTAGCTGTAGCATATGCTCATAGTGCATCTCGAGGTGGTGAATGCGTAGGGCCAGCTCATCCTCCTGCGACTGATCACTGGCAGAGAGGTCACGCAAAAGTCTGGTTACCTTACCTCTGGCTAAGGTTCGCTTCTGGCGCAGTTCACTTTCCTCCATCACAGCTCTTGACAGAAACACTCAAATCTTGAAGGCACAATCTCAATCTCAATCTCAAAATCAAAATCTCAATCAAAATCAAAGCAAAGAACAACCAACAGCAAATCTTGATCCGGCCAGCGGAGGACTATGTGGTGAATTAACAATAAAAATAGCCGGTTCGTTGTCAAGAAAGAGTTGAATTGATTTTACTTTATATTATCTTCGGCGGCGGCGACTCTCAGCAACACGTGGCGGCGACACAATCACGGCGGCAGTCAGGGCGGAACTCAACCACGAGGACGAAACGGGGGCGAAATCAACTCGGTTTATACAGCGCAATGTGAAGGATTCAGGACGGGCTACCAGACAGAGGATACTTTAAAAGTCGGAGAGGAAACTAGTATAGGCACGGGGAGGATAAAGGAAAAGGGCTCGAACACACGACAATGGGAGCAGAGCATATCCGATCAACTTTCTTTGGGATAGATGCGAGTGAGCACAAAGCGAGTCTATTGAGCCATAGTGGAAAACTTACGTATGAAACGGCAATAGCAACGCAAGAATAGGTTTTTGACGAATAGGTAGCGTGTGTGCTGTCGTCCTAGCAACAAGTACGGCTCTCGCGAGATTAAGCGGTAGGTTTTGCACTTTTACATTTCCGGTTATATCTCAGAAACTAATCGATCTACGACGAAGCCATTTTACACGATCATGGCCGGCATGTTATCTAACAAGTCGATCGCATCTTCAACACTTAAAAGCTTAACCCTCGCATGTGTGCGGCGTTTGCCAGCTTCTAATGTGTAGGGGGGGTGGGGTCGGTTGGACCCCCCCCCTTGCCGTTTGGCCCCTGATCGAGCTAGAGCTTCGCGGAAAAAACGAGCGTGTTGCCCGTGACGAGAGGAAGCCAATGATACCCAATTTTAAGGTCCTAGGTCATTAGTTGACCTTCCAGGTCAGGTCAATGACCCAAAGTCGGGAAAATCGGGACCTGTTAGAAAGTCGTAAAGTGTGGCTGCTAAGGGGTTTTTCGGGGTGCTGATCACGAATATCGTGTTAGTTTTGATCACAGATGATGTCTTGAAGCATTTAGACCAGGTCGGGTCAGGTCAGGTCAGGTCAACCAGTAGGCGTCGTGACGGGTATTCGTAGTACGTGTCAACCGCCTCTGACAGCTTCGTAACATGTTACGAAGTCACCAAAACTACTTCGTAAATGTTCAAATGGTTGCTAAATTCGAATTCAGCTCCAAAAACTAGCCTAGAAACATGTAAAACTCGAAAAAGTGACCCGAGGTCACCCGAGGTCACCAAAGGTCAATGACCTGACCTGACCTTCAGGTGACCTTGACACACACGGGAGTAACATCAAATCACATGTTTGAACGTTTGAAACCACGAAAAGCTTGCAAACACGCGGCTAGTGCGAGCCGACATACGCGAAATCGCGATTCCGGCCAAACATGGTCTCGGAAAAGAGGTCACAGGTCAAAGGTCATTTGGGTCAGGGTCATGAAATTTTCAGGGTAGGTGTAAAATTGATCAATGCGAGGGTACTGAAAGTTTCGTCGCGATCGGCCGCTTTTTACGCGATTTATTCGCGAAAAACCATGGGGGGGGGGGGCCATCCGACCCCCCCCCCCTACACATGCGAGGGTTAAGACGACGAAGCTATACCCTGAAGAACGCTGAATTTTCTAGGTGCAAAACCTACCGCTAAAACCCGCGAGACCTGTACCTAAGCGTCGCAATTTCGAATACTGCTCGTACATAGTAGGTGCACCGAGACCGACTAGACCGAAGATGATTGGGGATTGTTCCCAGGTGATGACAGTAATGAGAAGCGAACTCGCGGCTCATCTCACTGGTCTGTTCCTTTTGCCAGAGTTAACACCGTCCTCCGTAGTCTCCTCTGCTGTATCCCAACGCACACAAGCTCATTCCTAAGATCCTGTCCGTCAGCAGATTTCTTCACCTCATCTCGCTATTCCTTCCTTACCAGTCTCCAAGACTGCACTGGCCGCGGCGGCACGTAAGTACCTGTGATATATCGCTGTGAATACTCGAGGGCTGCGCGGTTTCTCGGGGTGCTGATCACGAATATCATGTTAGTTTTGATCACAGATGATGTCTTCATGCATTTAGATAGACCAGGTCGGGTTAGGTCAGGTCAGGTCAACCAGTAAGGGTCCTGCGAGGTATTTGTTGTAGGTTTCAAGCGCCTTTGACAGCTTCGTAACATGTTACGAAGGCACCAAAACTACTCCGTAAATGTTCAAATGCTTGCTAAATTCGAATTCAGCTAAAAAAGTCTAGAAACATGTAAAACTCGAAAAAGTGAACCGAGGCCATCAAAGGTCAATAACCTGACCTGACCTTCAGGTGACCTTGACCACCCTAATGCATGTGAACAACATCACATCACATATTTGAACGCTTGAAACCACGAAAAGACTGCAAATGCGCGGCTTATGCGGGCCGACATACGCCGAATCGCGATTCCGGCCAAACATGGTCTCGAAAAGTAGAGGCCGCCTCCACTGTGCGGACGGCTTGCGGTCGGTGCGGAATTTAACACAGAAGCCTATGGGCGCATGCGGTCTCCGTCCGGAGTCGGTCAGGAATGTGCCCGCATCCGGACTGCCGACGGAGAGCTCACGGACACTGGTGGACACAAGTTTTCAGTTGTTACAAAAAGAAAATATGGCAATTGACTCGCATCACAGACAATGATGGTGTCATACCAAGGAAATGATGCTCATTTACTTCAACATGAAAGAGCTCTAATTCAATCTTAACCTTCCAGGCGGTGGGGGGGGGGGCAATTTTTTGCCCCCCCCTTTACTTTTTTCGATATATCTCGAGAACCGCTGCGCCGATCGTCACCAAACTTTCAGTACCCTCCCGGGAGCAGCTAGCGCACATGGTGACCAAAAATTTTTCCAAAGGCTATGATAGGTTGGCCGCTAATGACGTAAGAGTGACGTCATTTTTGCCATTTCGACCCAAAAAAAGGTTTCGCGGGAAGAGCTGTCAGGCCTACAGCTTTAGAGATACAGAAAAATGTTTTAGACATAAAAGATGTGGAATCAAAAAGGCTACAAAACTGCTATTTCGGTTTTTCAAATTTTTTAGATTTTGACCCCCAAAAATCAAAAAATAGATTTTTTGAATATAATAGCCAAAAAATCCAAAAAGTTTTTTGAATTTCGAAAAAACCGGAATATATGTGATAGTCCCTACCGCCTTCTATCTACATACCAAATTTGAGATCGATACCTCGTTTTTTGGCCAAGTTATAGCGAAAAAACTGTTCAAAATTGATGACGTCAAATTTTCAAACTCAATTTTTAGCAATTCTAGACCTCGTAGCGCAAAACAAAGACCACCATTAGACTCCCCGTGACGAGCTGCATCGAATCGATACCCATTTTGTGCAAAAATATCAATTTTGAAATTTGACCTTTTTTGACCTGACCTTGACCTGACCTCCACCAGAAAGTGACCTAAACCGTACCTGATGCTCTTATAAACAACACCATTGAGTTGGAAATGAAAAACTGGCCATAAAACATGCATCACATAACCTTAGTAAAGTTGGGCTCATGTGGTGACCCTTGGTGACCTTTGGTGACCTGACCTGTGACCTGACCTGGTATGACCAGTGACCTCTAATAGCAACATATGTACTAGACAACTGACGCCTTATCGCTGATTTTCGACAAAATGCGTTTTACTCGGTGTTATAGCGCTTTCCCTAGAAGCCCTGTGAACGGTGAAACATTTTATCTTTGACCTGACCTGTGACGTCATCGGTGACCCCGAGGTCAATGAAATTTGCTTTCCCGCGACAAATTTGACAGGGCTATCGAACGCCGTTTGAATTTTTCGGATCCGTCCAGTAGTTTCGGAGATACGGGGGGGGGGGCAAAAAAGTGCCCCCCCCCCCCTCACCGCGTGGAAGGTGGCTGGTAGGCCCACCGCCTGCCGGGTTAATTGAAAACTCGAAGACGGAAGACCGTCCGTGTCCGCATCCATTCCGTCTGCGTTCTCCGCACAAATTTCAACACGTCGTACCTCATACTTGCATTTCGTCTCTGCGGCAACCACTTCCCTTGCCACTTCCGATGTTTGTCAATATCTGATTCGATTCTGAATTGAATAAATTTAGTTCGAGGGAGGTCACGTGCGACATGAATAATGCGACCTCCGAGTTGGGACTGAATAAAACTTCATCAGCTATCAACGATATATTTCCACGACACAGCGGATGCGGTCCACACACGGTTTTCGTACAGACCACATGCGCCAATAGGGTTCTGTGTTAAATTCCGTACGGACCGCAAGCAGTCCGCACAGTGAACGGCGGCCTTAGGTCACAGGTTAACCCGCGCCCCGTTGAGGTCTGCCGAGCAACGCGCCCTACTGTGGGGGGGGGGGGGTAATTTGCCCCCCCTAAAATCTCGAGAGTCACGCAACTTAGCGACAAGCGGCAAACGTTGTTGGATAACCCCATCAAGGAACAACCTTGTGACCCAATTTTATTGACATAGGTCAAACCGATGACGTCACAGGTCAGGTCAAAGATCGAATTTTCACCGTTTACAGACGTTTCAAGAAATGCGTTGTTAAGTCGAGTAAAATGCATTTCAATGAAAATCATTGATGGGGAAATGTTCTTCAAACACATATTTTGCTATTTGAGGTCACTGATACCAGGTCAGGTCACAGAGGTCAGGTCACTGAGGGTCACAATATGAAAATATCATGTGATGCATGTTTTATGGTCCATTTTATATGACAAATACGATTATCAGGGTCAGGCAGCCTTTGGGGTCCGTTTAAATTATGTTCTGGTGAAGATCAGGTCAAGGTCAGGTCAAGGTCAGGTCAAATGGGGTCAAATTTTGAAGTTGATATTTTTTGCAAAAATGGGTATCGATTCGATGCAGCTTGTCACGGGGAGTTCAATGGTGGTCTTTGTTTTGCGCTTCGTGGTCTAGAATTGCTAAAAATTGAGTTCAAAAATTTGATGTCATCAGTTTTAAACAGTGTTTTCGCTATAACTTGGCCAAAAAAGGAGATATCGATCTAAAATTTGGTATGTATATAGAGGAGCGCAGGGAATATCACATGTATTCCGGTTTTTAAAATTCGAAACAAGGAAATTTTTGAATTTTTCTAAAAACATCATTTTTTTTGAATTTTTGGGGGTCAAATTCCCAACATTTTGAAGATCCGAGATCGCAGTTCTGTAGCACCGCTTTTTGTCTACATGATCATATAAAGAAGTTTGGAATTGCTTTGTAACTCTAGATTTGATGAGCGTTTAAAGATTGCATGTTTTTTGCTCATTTTTGCTCGAATATGACCTCAGTTTGACCTCGATAGCTCCTGACCTAAGGTGACCTAAGACTTAAAATTTGATGTGATGTGATGGTGCCCGGGAAGGTACTGAAAATTTGGCGGCGCTTCACGCGACCGTTTTCTTGCTGTTCAGGAAAAACCACAGGTGGGCCAAACTGCCCCCCCCCCCCCGAGGGGCGAGGGTCATTTGGATCAGGATCATGAAATATAGTGGGTAGGTGTATGAATAACGCGAGGGTACTGACAGTTTCGTCGCGATCGGCCGCTTTTTACGCGTGTTATTCGCGAAAAAACGAGGGGGGGTCCGTTCGACCCCCCTATACGGGCGAGGGTTAAGCTCCCGTTGTAACAGTTATTCATATGTGTATCTGGACAATTATTATTTTAACCGTCAACCCGTAGGGGGAGGGGCGAAATGGCCCTCCTTGTCCTTTTCCGTAAATATCTATTTTCTATGTCTCCTGAAACGTCTGCAGAACTGCAGATGTCGTCACCAAAATTTTACGACATCTCCGGGCAGCGAGTTACCTAAGGGTGGAACTACCCAGCGCCGAGCCGGCCGGATGACGTCACACCACGGCCAGTGCCGGCGCGGCGGCAGACTGGCCGAGATTGGCATGGTCTTAACTTGGCGAAGAGGCATCGGACGCCAAACTTCTGCTGCAGCTATAAATCACATTTTATGTGTTTCTTCCATATGTATGAGCTATTAACCCTCGCCCATGTAGGGGGGGGTTGGTGCAACCCCCCCCTGAGGTTTTTCGGAAATAGTGAAAAAACGGCGGCGCGCAGCGCCGCCAAATTTTGGGTACCTTATGGGGCAAACCTTGCGCATCTTTTGATAAAAAAAATTTGACCGGGTCATGTCAGGTCACGGAGTTATGACGTCACAAAGGGAACAGCCTCCGGCCGGATTTTCACAAACTGAGTGCCAACGCCCGAGGTTTCCTGCCGGTGGTACGGACATCGGTTGATGGATCGTGATGAAACTTCCCATGCATGTTGGGGCAAGTATTGGCTATCATATGGTATAAGAAACTTGACCGGGTCAGGTCAGGTCACGGAGCTATGACGTCACAAGAGGAACAGCGTCCGGTACTATTTTTGAAAAGCGCCCGAACCACTATTTTGCTAATTCTTGTCACCTCAATGGGAATATGCAGCAATATTAGCTTCTGTAAGGAGCAAATGGACCTCCCAAATCCAAAAATACAATCAGATTTAAAAAATTTAAATTTTGATTTTTCGAATTTCTGCCGCCGACTGTGACCTTGCCGACTTCCGGCGCTCCCAACGCGCCATTTTTAGAGCTAGGGAAACGAAATACATACCAAACGATAGAGAATTGATCAAGGAACACGATAGTGAAGGTTTCAAGTCGATATCTCCCACCGTTTTGCCGCAATCGCCGCGGAAAGTTGAAAAAGTCTATTTTTCCGAAAATTTGACCTTTGACCGGTCAAAAGTAGGTCAAATGTTGACCTAGGACCAAAAAATATACCACCAATCGCGAGATCTCGGCGAGAGCAATCCGTTGGTCTTTTCCGCTAAGCTCTACGACGCTCCGTTTTCAAACGCCAAGGGGGGGGTCGCACCAACCCCCCCCCCTGCATGGGCGAAGGTGGCAGATCGCCGTTTACGGGCGAGGGTTAACCCGCGCGGGGCTGGGGGGGTAAATTTTACCCCCCCTCGCGAATTTTTGCGATATCTCAAAAACGGCGGCGCGCAGCGCCGCCAAACTTTCAGTACCTTTTCTTACATCAATTTGACACATTCCCTGAAAACTTGAGCGAAATCCGTCGGAAAATTTTTGAGAAATTGACGTTTTAGTGACGTCATGTTCGCCATTTTCGCCTCAAAAACGGCAAAAGTTCAAACGCCGCTAACATCTTCATTTTCAAAGGAATCAAGACGTAACAAAAAAGGTTATACGTAATTTGACTTTGTCTATCAAATGGCTATCTCGGTTTTTTTGAAAATTTTGGATTTTGGCCTAAATTTTTTCAAAGAACTGATTTTTTTGGGAAAATCATTATAAAATCCAAAATTTTGAGTCTATCGAAAAAACCGGAATATATGTCAGAGAAGTGGTCTATGTGCACCTACATACCAAATTTTAGAAGAATCGGTTCAAAAATGTGGGAGTTATTCAAAATTTTATGACGTCAAGACACACAAAATTTTTGAAAAATGACTTTTTTGGAAGTTCTAGACCTCGTACGGAAACAAAAATAGCACCATTCGATTCGCCGTGAAAAACTGCATCAGATAGACACCTTTTTAGGCCTTAACAACCAACTTCAAAATTTGACCTCACTTGACCTGATCTTGACCTGACCTCGACCTTAAATTCATCCACAGGTGGTCCATATCACTTATTGAGTGTGCCTATTGAATTCTATGAGTAAAATGACCCATAAAACATGTGTCGCACATGCCCTTTTCTATATTTTGTTTTTTTGGTGACCTGACCTGACCTGACCTGACCTTGTACTTGACCTCTGAATGATATTGTATGCAACTTATATTGTCTTGGTAGCCTAAGAACACGTTTTGGGCGATCAGTCTCAGTCCATGACTCCAATCTTCGGCAACTACGGTACAAGGCCGATACTGTAGAAACTTGCAATTTGTACCCTTGACCTGACCTTGACCTTGACCTCAAACTTTAAATTAAGTACATGTTTTTAGTAGTTCGTGATGAGAGCTTGCGATTGGCGTTTGAATTTTCCAAATCGGACCATTAGTTCGGAAGATAACAGGGGGGGGGGGTAAAATTTACCCCCCCAGCCCCGCGCGTTCGGCTGGAGACCCCAGCCCCGCGCGGGTTAAGTCCTTCGAATACCTAATGTGTAGGTGAGCGTACCTGCATTTAGCAGTGTGTGCTATGCTATGTGGATTGAAAACTGGGGACACATCCGACACACTGCGCAATGGATTCCGATATTGCTTGGCTGATTCTGGCTTTGTGTCTTCGCACGAACCATTGAAAGGGAGGACGTCATTTTTAAAGGTTGTCAGGTGCACTCAAACGTTTTAATAAGCAACTGCTGATTGAATTTCTGGCGAGGGGTGGGGGAACGTTCTGTTCACAAATGAGTATCTACCTACCTAGTGCCTACCTGCATTGGCAAATAACTTGGTCGCGGTCAATTAGGCATGATTCACGAAGTCCCTTATCTCTTATTAGACTTATTAAGCAGCAATGTGCAACATTTGCGTCTTTTCGCGTTGCATCGGGTAGCAAATGAGAAAATCTGCCTCTTCTCCACAGCCCTCAATTCAAGAAACCGTCCTTTTCCTTATCACACCATTCCATAACATAATTTTCAAACATGGGTGTCCTCCCCACAAAAAAAAACTGAAGCAGTTTCCTTCGGCTCCAATGCGCCGCTCGCCCAGGGAGACGGAAGTGTTATATTCTCGGCGGTCCAGTCTGCATTCTGCAGCACAATTAAACTTGGCGGACCCCCAGCGGCGACTGAACGATTCGTATTGTTGTGAGTGACTGTGGCGACAGCAAATAAATTCACTGGTGGTTTCGGAATAATTAACAGGCGGCGCAGCCCAGTGCCTCTTACAATGAATTACAGTGGCGAATGCACTATTGCAGAGAAGAAATGGATTGAGCAGATGCCCAACCTCGCTGTATTATCAACTAAACATTAGATACGCTTTACATTTTAACCCATTAATGCCGCTTGGGTCATATATGACCCAAAAGCAACATCTTAACATTTTTTCTAAATGGAGGCAAGTGGCACTTTGAGGAACTTGTGCGTGTGTTTTGTTGGATTTGTGGGTTCAGTGACGAGCGTCGGAGCCGCATAAAACTCGTGTGAGCTCGTCCACTCAAGTTTCTGGAGCCAAAGACGACGGGACTGCACAGCCGCCGGTCACTGGCAATGGCGCGCCTTCCCAAAAAGTAATATTATGTTATGTTTGCACTTTACTATCTATTGAATGATCGTCCACCTGGCATCTAAATTTGTCTGAAAAAGACATGATGTATATTTTTGCCCTTCTTGTCGCCATCGGATAACTTTTTTCCTCGATAGATATCCTTGGGTCATAAATGACCCAGCCGGCAACAGTGTTGTCAATTTTCTCGTATGTTGAATACGAGGGAAGCAATTGATGATTATACGATTACTTATTTCTGGGGGTTGTGATCACATCACAGTGGCGGATCCAAGGGAGGGGGGTCATATGGGTCACTCATGACCTCCCCTGGGACCCGGGGGCACCACCGATCTATCAGGGGCACCACAGGCCTAGTGTTGCGATATTAGGATATCATGAGCGTACCGGTTGTCCGGGGCCGTGACGCGGGGCGGGCCGGCGACTTGGCCGGCCGAGGGGCACCACGGTTCTGTCAGGGGTACCACAGGCTTGTTAGGGGCACCACAGGCCTGCAGGAGCACCATCGGCCTAGCAAGAGCACCACAGGTCTGTCAGGGGGCACCACAGACCTGCCAGGGGCACCAGCCAGAGGTCTGCCCAGGGCTGAAAAAAGTCCTTTCGTGGTTATATATATATATATATATATATATATATATATATATATATATATATATATATATATATATATATATATATACTGCTTATTTTCAACTGTAAGGTTGGTCTTACAGATATTGCAAAAAATGTTATAGACGTATGCGTAAAAAGGTCACAAAGCATAGCAATGACAAATAGCGCTGCAGATACACAAGCATGGTGTATTGGTAATATTGTTGCGGAACAATGGCAATTTACTAATGTAAAACTTCATTGATTTTACATCCAAGTACACTTCATTTCACTTACAACCAATGTCAAAAGTGAGTGAGCTGGGCTCTGACAGCCTCCAACGTATCATCACTTATATGCTGCTCAGCACGTGACTGTCACACCATTCGAGGACAACGAAACATTACAAAGGTGCAGAATAGATACAGCAAACACATGGGAGCTACTGCTATCACATCGCAATGTACACACCTCTTCACTTAGCTCGGTGTAGTGCGCGGATATATATGCGATTTTGCACATCTGTGAGCTTTGTGGCGGGCTATCACTTTGCCTTCCACCTGCTGTGACAGCGTGGACCTGACGAAGTTATCCAGGTGAGGATACTTCTGCACGACTGCCGCTATTAGACCGTCAGCCTGCGGCACGCTAGGGCCGTTCCATCTAACGATGAGCTCTTTTTCGGCGTTGCCATGGTCAAGGACGCGGGACGACGATACACCGAACACGGCCTTCACCACCGAGGCCATACTCTCTACTACGCTTTCGGACGGGCTCAATAGCCACAGACGCGCCACTAAACTCAAGTAAGGCAAGAGACGATGGTCATCCCTGAGCCAGAGTTCCTTGAACAGTTTCTGGTTGGTGCCATGCTGCATGCTTTTCAGTTCCTTGAAAGTAGCAGCGACTGATTCCCAGGGAATCGGAGCGGGTGGAATCAACGAAGCGTGCTGCAGGGCACTCAGCGCCCTTCCTACCTCGGTGATGGCGGATGAGGTGGGAGATTGTTGAAGCCTCTCGAGATCTGCTGCCTGTCTGACCTGGACCATCTTCTCCTTCAGTTGCAGATTGTGGCAGCCCCGCGTCCGCCCTCTGGCGTCCACACCATGTTCTCTGCTGGCGCAGTGAGTCTCCAGGGCTCGCGTGAACGCCAATATTTCCTTCACCTATAAAATAAGAGATCATTATAAATTATCATATATCGTGGACAATAACCATTCTGAATGCAAGCCACTTTCTTTCTGAGCATCGATTTTATTGAGGCGTGAGGGCGCGCCGACTAATTGGGTCATTTTGCGCCCGTGTGAGCATCAGTTTATGACCCACCAGGATAAAGAAATCCATTTATTGAGTGCCTTAATATTCTAATGATCAATAGGCATCAACCGCGAGTGAAAGAAGTATCAATGATCAAGGCAACTCGAAACATTTTTACCGGGTCAAATGGTAACTTCAAAGTGATTAGGTGTCTGTAACCGTCCTTCCATTCTCTTAAATGATATCACAATGAAGCCATCCAATCTTGTCTGTATGTTGTGCTTATGCATAATGAGTTGCACACAATTATCACGCGGGCGGCTGATGGTGCATACTATTACCACGACGTTAGTCCCGTCTTACTTACCACTGACTGAGGCAGGTTTATGCCGCATTTGGAGAGGTTCGGCCAGAACGCCGCCATGTCATCGTCGTCGCCTTCCTGAAGCATTTCTTGGATTTGAAGTGCAGACATTGCGGCGGAGCCTCTCTGTTGAAAAAAGCCCAGCTTTTTCCTTTTCTCGCCAAGGTCATTCACCATCTCCTCGTAAGTGTTCTGACGCTGCCATGGGAGTAGCTGAAGGTTCTGAAGAGACTTGCTTGTCCTCGACATAACCGAGTAGAGATCTAGCAGTGCCAGTAGGCGCGCCCGAAATGACGCATCTGAAAGCCAGCAATTTCACTTTAAAGCAGGCGCGTCACAGAACAGTGTTACTCATAGAAGGCACTTTAAATTATTTACCTAAGCAGCCCCATTCCATCGCGAGTCAGGTACCATCTATTTTATATTAATCGTGTAGTATCATACACACGATAAACAAAACAATTTAACTTGTTATTATCAAGATTGGTAATAGCATTAAATGCTTGTGAAAATCTCTGCGACACGTTAGCAAACCATGAAATATTTAACGCTCTGGAGTTCAGAACAGCCATGTTTAATATAATTTACGGTTATTACCTTTCAGAAGTTTGATGTCCTGCTTGATCTCGGCTTGCTGAACTGTACGGCTGCCCGCTGAGGCACAGCTGGCCACTAGCTGGTCCTCCAGAGCGACTGCCAGTACGGGCAGGTTTGTGACGAATGCCTCGATGACATTGGCAGCGTGAGGGGAAAAACGGGTCTCTGACCAAAGGAGCAAGCCTCTGGTTTCTATCCCCATGCGTTTGCCCGCCGCTATGAAAACCTCGCGGCCTTTCCCGTAGGAAAACCGTTTAACGACGCGGCTGATGGCGTCGACCACATCATCCACCCACTTGGAAGACAGCTCCCTTCTCGCACTGCTCTCGGCGAGGTCCAGTAAGTGCGCGTTGTCCCACAGGCACGGAACGGATGGTGATCTTGAACGCGCCGCGTAGTCCGAGTGGCTGGACTGCAGTTTCGCCAAGAATTTGGCAGGAACATCGGCACCGTGGTATTGTCCATCTGTACAGACAGCGGCTATTTTAGCCGTGTCCTGAATGTTCACTCGCTTCACAGTGTTCACCCACTCCTCCGCAAGGGATTCGCCATCATGGTGCGCTACCACTGGGGCACCAATTACAAAGCTCTGAATTAGCTCATCGCAATGAGCTTCTGGGACAAGCGTTAATATCCCGGTGATGTCCACAGTCCGGTGCTGTACTGTCACCTTGTCCGCCACGATACCAACGCAGGGCATCCGCTCAACGTAGCGTGCTACATGATCCAGGACAACGTCACTGAAGGCATGCCTAAAGCGCTGCATTTGGGGACCAGAGTGGCAAAGATCGCCCATCTTTGATCCAGTGAGATCACAAAGCACTATAGTGTTTTCGTACATCACACGGGCCAGAGAATGTTTCATAACGTGGTATGCCGCCATCAAGGAGTTTCTGCAAGCACTTTGCCTTAAACGCTCACGTGTTTCAGCATGTGCCGAGTCTCTCTTGGCCTTTTCCACAGCATCTCTGTGCCTTTTGGATGCGATGTGGTGTTTCACAGACTCTTTCAGACGGGTGAACGGCTTTGGTATCGTCATTGGCCGTGGAAAAGAGGTTCCGGCTGAAAAGGTATAGCGGCATATACCATGGACGTTGTTTTTGTTTCGATCGAGCTCGACCTCGGGACCCATGTTTGGGACGCACAGCTCGCAAACAACGATGTTACGATCCGGCATCGCAACCCATCGGTGATCAGAAATCGCCTCAAGAAGAGAATCCATGTCACGTGCCGAGTTAATGCGCGCCTCTGTGTCCTTGTCGGCACACACACGTGACTCTCGCTGGTCACCCTTTAGCGCCTGTTTCACTTCTAGCAGGCTCTCCTCGATGCGTCGTAGTCTGCACTCCACCGACACTCCGAGACCTGTAACGCATGTGATAAGCGAATTATTTCAGCTGCATTGCGTTTCATAGCTTAACCCGCGCCCGGTTGTCTGTCTCAGCCAACTTCGTCATGGTGGTTGGTAACTTTTCGGCCACATACCATTAGGTGGGTATCGCAAAAGCTAAGGAAGATTAAAAAGACAAAGAAAAAAACGATAGCTCCTATTCAGACGAATAACGGTCACTTTTTGGTCACGTCAATGCTGAGGTGGTGAATTCTAGTGCTGACATCACTATAGGTCGCCAAAGGCATAATTTTCCCGATTTTAACAATTTTGTGTCATAGACATGTTGCATTTCGTTGAGTTTTATGTATAGACGTGTGTTTATAGAACAGAGAAATGCTGATGAGAATTTTTTTATGTAATAATTGCAGCCCAAAGTAACTTCATTACCTACACACAGGGGCGTCGCCACGGATTTTCGACAGGGGAGGGGGCGGATCGGCCGACAAACACCCAGAATTAGGTATTGTTATCGTACTTTTTCAGGACGATGCATTGTCTGTCTAATGGAAATGGACCAAATTGCTACACAGTGCATGTCTGAAGTCAGATTCATTTTGACACAGTTAAGGGCAAAGACTGGTCTTCTATCAGGGCACAATTGCTGATGTATTCCACCAATCTGATATGTAATGCATACATACTTGCGTATGGGCTGCTTTACTAGTCACGACTCACAACCACTTTTGGATTGAGGTATGAATCGGCGGCGCTTTCCGATTCTCGAGGCGCCCCCTTACCCCCCGCATGATTACACACCTGTCTTGTCAGAGGTATGTCGCTGGTGGCCGATGTCTGTGGAAGAGCTTGGTTGATGTTGGCGATAACTCCTTTCTTTAGAAGGTTCACCAGCGGAGATATGGACTACAGCTGAAAACAAACAAGGTGCATGCAGAAAGCATTTGTAAGAAGTGCTAGTTTTATAGAGTCGGCAGTCTGTGGAATAGATGTCGCTGCGGTCTGGCAGCGCCCCAGCGACATCTACGCGCCGAACAATAGGAAATTGGAGCCACGGGTACATAACTGACCCTTGCATGGCCCTGTTTCAGAGCAATGAATCTGTCTGACGCTTAAACGGTATTGATACTCAGTAACCATGGAAACCCGAGACGGCTTCAACTCCTTGACCCATGCTATAAAATTTCAATTCTGCACTGAGATAAATGAATACTCAATTAATCAATAATTATTAACAGATACACATTTCTGAGAGGGGTTTTAGAGATGAAGATATCTTTCAAAATGGCTAACATTTGAGTTATCTTACATAAAAGCCTGCAATTAACCTGCATATGACTGGGGTATTTTCCATAACGCGAGGGACGGGGGGGGGCTCTCCAGAGCCCCCCCCTCCTATCTCCGAAACGAATGGGCCGATCGTCAAAATTCAAACGGCGTCTGATAGCCCTGGAAAAACTGTCGAACGAAACCTATTTTCATTGACCTCGAGGTCACCGATGACGTCACAGGTCAGGTCAAAGTAAAAACTATCGGCTTTTTGCTTGCTTACAATTTAGGCTCTGGCCGCCGGCTGACAAGTCCGATCAGGCTCATTTTTGGTTCACGCACTCCTTGATATATGCCTTAGATACCCTGCAACCCTGAGGGTACCGAACTTTTACTTCGAATTTTTAAGGTCATGGCCAGGTCATCCTAGGTCACGAAAATTGTATATCATGTATCGGTCACGTGACGAATGTTTTATGATCCATTTAACACGTAGATTTCGAAAATAATGTTCTCCGTGTCATTTGAGGCCATTTTCAGCTGAATTTACCGGAAGTCAGGTCAATTTCAGGTCAGAAAAGTTCAACTTTTGAAGTTAAAATTTTTCAACAAAAAAGGTGTCTATTGGATGCAGTTTGAGCTCAGGAACACTTTGAACACAAGGTGTCAAATTGATGCCACCGAGGGTACCGCAAGTTAAGTGTTGATCCGTCTAACGGTTCAGAAGATACCCCCCCCCCCCAGTCATGCGCGGATTAACATAAAAACCCTGAAAACAGAAAGTGTAAGTTCAAAATTCACCGGAAATGCCACAACAAATGAAGAATCATAATTACACCATACCTTCACGTTGCTCAGGTTCCAAATCAGGTGCTGCAGTTCCAGTTGTGGTTGGATGATCGTCCGTAGGAGTGGTAGGATCGTCCATAGCCTCCCTCTCTGACGAGGCAGGACTCGTCCCAGAGGGAGGCGCACTGGATGGTGCACCACGTTGTCCTGAAAAAGGAGACATGAGGGATGAAATGTTTGTACCCACCAGCAAACACCAGCATCTCCATTATACTACAAATATCACTGGTCTTTCACAGTTTTTAGTACAAAACATGGTCTTGAACGCATACCTATGCAATATACCTATGGACACATAATATCAAAAGACAAGGATTTCATGCTATTCCATGTAGATTTCATGACACCATCATTACCTAATTGTACCTAGGGCAAACAAATCGTAGCAAATTTATGAAGAAATGTATATAGTTGCAAGTCCTCTAACTAGGGTAGAAACAATGGTGATCTTGTATGCATATGCAATATACTTATCAACATGATTTCAATATGCATGGACTTCATGCTATTTCATGGAGATTTTGTGTTGCCATGATAGGGGAAACAATCATAGCAAGCTTTTGAAGGAGAAATGTATCTAATTTCAAGCCTCTGACAAGGTATATAAATATGAAGTAGGTAGCAGCCAGGCATGCCACAACACGCACCAGAATTTGACAACAGACATTTGGTGAACTTCCAAAAGTTAACAAAACATAGTGTGCTGTAGGTCAATGAAAAAAGCAAAAAAAGCATTTTCCATGATTGGCAAACTCTAAAATTTACTTTATTTTAACCTTCATAGTTCATACATCAAACACCCAATAAGGTTTGGCTCAATGCAGTGTTTGGCTTATAAAAACATGTTAGTGATCATAATGCAGGTTTTCCCCATTAGCTTTGTCTTCCCCAAAAATGCTTATTTACAAAATAAACATTGCTGGGCCATAACTTTAAAACTGTACAACTTTCAAACAGCTGATTTCCTCTGCAAAAGATTCCCAGGCAGCCTAAAATTGAAATGGCTTTCATCCTTATACAACCCCTATTGCAGCCTTATTTTCATCTGAGCTCATCTGTTCTCATCTGGTATGTACATTAAACTCCTCTCATATTTTTAGGGGAAGAGGTATGGAAACGGGCTCCACATCTCACCTGAGATTGAAGAAAGTGGCACAGCAACAGTGACATGTGCCGAGCCTCTTTGGGTCCAGTCAAAGCGCCTGCCAGGGCCAAAATGACTGTTGTTGAACGCTTTTAGCACAGGCTGGCCAGGATGTCTTGTTTTCGTATGCTTGTAAATGCTTTGCTCCGTGCCTTTCCATCCGCAATGTCCACACCTGCAAGCACTTCTCACTCTCTTTTTCGCAGGGCAAGGACAGGCCCTTGGCTCACTGTTCACCGTAGCCTGCTTTAGACCAAACCAAGGCTTCATATCACTGCCTTTTAATACACACTGTATCTAAGCTGTCTACCAGCACTGGCAGGCCTTGCTGCGACCGCAGACAGCGAGTCGCGAGCCCCCTTCGAAAGGTTTGAAACCGCACTGCGCGCGCAACCACGAGACACGCACCAGGGACACGCACCACGCACAGCGACGCACTGCGACGCCGCCTAATCGGAAACAGCACTGCCGTGCTCTTAAACTTTTCAGATTTTATTAATTTTTGCTCATTGATATCCTAGTTAATTGAAAATTGTAAGCATTAAAATATTCTTTTGACAGTAAATTAAACACAAATTTCATTTCCTATTTAAAATGCACTACCTAACAACAAAACAACTAGAGTTGCCAGACTTAGACCAACGGCGGCCGACAACCACGGCGACCATCTGGCAATCGCGGTATGTCATTGGTCGCCTTTATGTGGTCGCCGATCTGGCCGTCCAAACGATGGTCGAACGACGCAGTATATACTAAATAGCCAGAGGGTGTTGGAATATTCGTATGTATACTACATGGGTACTTTTCCATTGCCGCCAGCGCGTACGGAGGGCTCGGGAGCCGGGGCCCCGAGGAAAATGAATGGAGAGGGGCCAAGGGGACAGGGCAGAGGGAATTGGCATGCGCGGCGCGCGCTAATCCAGCCGTAACCGGATCCAACCGGATCTCTGCTGAAGTGTCAGTTGTGGTCGCCATAGCTCGCGTTCTCGGTTGTCGTCGACAACGACAAAACGATGAGATTTTTCAGCCCTGTGTATAAGAGTAACACTAGGTTGGAGTGTCGCTTGTAAGAGTGACATTGGGTTGGAGTGTCACTGTGTAGGGTTAACATTGTGTTGGAGTGTCTCTGTGTACGAGTACTACATCAAGTTGGAGTGTCATTGTGTAAGAGTAACATCAGGTTGGAGTGTCACTGTAAGAATATACTATGTTGGAGTTTCGCTGTGTAAGACTTAAGAGTAACATAAGGTTGGAGTGTCACTGTACGAGGGTAACATTAGGTTGGAGTGTCACCGTGCTGGATTGCCACTGTATTGGACTCCCGTGGTGTTGGAGTACCACGGTATCGAAAGTGTTGCTGTTGGTTGGATTGCCATTGTTTTATAGTGCCGTTTGTCTTAGCGTAAAAGTGCGTTGGAGTGGCATCGAATTTAGTTGGATTTTCTTCAATATCTGTAACTTGATTAACGTCAATATCAATTGGTACAAAAAAACTTTCCATGAGTGCTTGATGGAATGGACGGCGACAGCTGATTGAATGCCGTCGAAGTTTGCATCGCTGCATTGCCATCCTTGACTTTTGTTAAATTCATGAGGACACTTTACCTCTGCATAAATCCGCTGTGCTACCGAATCCAGCGGTCACTTTCCCATACAAGTCTGCGCTTTTTGTCAAGTCTGCCGTTGTACCGCATTCCCTGCCGTCGTGATGTCTTTGTCCATTCAATAGCGACAATGGTGACTTGGACGTCATTTCTGCAGGGCCAGGCGATTCGTGTTTCAATGGACGATGCAAGATAGTGAACTGTAGGACCACCCACGGTATATGCGGGCCATGTTCAATAGACAGCGGACTGACGCTAGGCTGAATCGACTTCTTTGTTACAGAAATCCCCTGTAATGCTAAGCTGAATCATTTTGTTACAGGAACCTCGTCTCAATGGCAGACTGCGAGCCCCAGCGTTCGTGGATTCCGGACAGTCGAGAGGACGTCACCGAAGACTGGGTGAGGTCACTGCTGGTGACGCACTTTGGTGACGGAGTTCGAGTGAAGAACCTCCACGTGAGGGACAGCCCAGAGACGGTGGACCACTGCTGTGAGCTTGTGGTAGAGTTCGACTGCAGGTTTGATGCGCCTGAGTCCCGCCAAGCGTCTCCGCCGCCAATCTCCTCATTCTTGGAGGAAGGTCTCATCTTCACAGCGTGTGTAGATGAGGAAGAAAAGGACGCCTCGACTGAAGACCACACGGTTATACAGGAGCTGGATTCCTTCACTCTCCCAGGAGATGACGGGGCTGCGGAAGAAGTGATCGAACTTCTTGTCACCGGTGATGACAATCCCGATGGTGCCTTCGCCGGAGGCCGACGTCCGAGTTTCTACATCTCCGATTCGGATGAAGAAGCCGAAGCTCCCCTTCCTGCACTTGTCAGCTACCCAGCCAGCGGAGTGCCGTCCCCTCGCGCCCCTTCACCCGCGGACTCCGATTCCGACGACCAAACTCCCGACAAACATCTGGTCTGGAAGGTGCGGCTGCCAACGAGTGACCCTCTCGCGGAGCTGCTCTGTGTGGATGGACGCGGAGTTGATCGTGAGTTGACTCTGTTCTCACTCGTCGCGCCGCGAATGGCTGCTCTGTCCGTGCCCAGCTGTGTCTACTCTGAACAGGACTGTGGGAACTCTCGTCGCTGGGTGTTGGTGACTGAGGATCCTCGCCTACCAGGCCTGTCCTCCCTCGACCCGAGAAAACCCTTGAGCCATGCAGCAGTGAAGTCGGTCGTTGACGCAATAGCGACCAACGCGGCGTTATTTCTTGTGCTGCGACGTCAGCTAGAGGGTCAAGGCAAGCAATTGAGTGATGAGTATGCGGCACTTCGGCCGAGTGACCTAGAGATGGGGAGACATCCACTAGCTGTTGACCACGCTGGACAGTGTCTCCGCGAGGTGGCGCAGATTCTCTCTCAACGGCGACCGGATTTGAGAAATTGGCTTCTGACTAAGGCACCCAGTGCGATGAGCTCATTCTTGCGCCTTTCTGAGGTGGATAGTGAGCTGACTATCCCAGTGAATGGTTTCTGTTGTCCCCAAAATCTGCACCTCGGCGATGAAGGTGTCGTGATGCTGGACTGGCACTTGTTTAGGCTTGCAGGACTGACGTTTGACCTTGCACATCTGCTTCTGACGGCTGTACCTCTTGACGTACGACGCCAGATGACCGGTGAATACGTCAATGGCTTCACTCGACGGATCTGCGAAAAGCTCGAAGAGTGGAGCGAACCGCCTGTTGTCGCCCTCACCGAGGATCGGGTGAAGAGGGACTATGAGCAATCGCAAGGTGCGGCGTTCTTCTGGGCAGCCACAGACATTTGTAGGAGACTTGGACGAATGCTATCAGGTCCTTCTGCTAGGCGAAGGACTAGTGCCGGGAAGGACCTGGCAGAAGCCACTGCAGGACTTGAGATCAGGGACGAAAGAGCCCGTGAAACACAGGATCCTGGAGAAAGTGATACGAGCGCAAGTGTTTGCCAAACTGAAGACAACTTTTCCCAAAGATGCAGTATCGGGTATAGTGACAGACAATCAAATATGAACAGCGATGTTCTAAGCATTCCAAGAGAACAAGTTCCTCCACCAGAGTCTAGTTTCGACGCGGGCCAGACTAGTTCTGGTGAAACGGTGAAGCTCGGTGTTCAAAACGACGGATGTGCGAGTGACGACACGGAATTTGACCTAAGGGAAGTGCTTATTGAAAGGCTTCAGGATATGGTTCTGGAAATCAAGGACGCGGATATTTTGTAGTTCCTATGAAAGCTAGGCACCTATTTAGGAGGAGTTTGCTGTTATTTACAAAATTATCCATGATAATGTGCCCAACTTTCGCATTTCAGTTTTCACCTAAAACGGAACGCTTTTGCGTTTCATCGATGTTTTCGCTATCCTTAAACTTATTCCTTTTCTCTCACCTCGAATAGACATCATTGAAGCTTTGATGCATTCCCGAACATGAATCGAAAAGGAGATCACGTTTTGCATTATTCGCCAAGCAGCCGTCATTCATTCAAGTCGCAAGACGTTGTCTGTGTCATTTCAGCATTTGCTGTCCGTCATAACCTGGCAAAGCTTTTGGCCTCTTTTGGGTGCTCTGTTGCTTTTAGAAGGTGTGTACGATCATTACCTTTATGTGGTTTGTTTTTGTTTCTGTTTATTCGTTGATGAACCGGTTACGTATCGTCGCTTTTATCATCTGTGTGCTGATCTTATTTTCTCGAAACGGCATTTCCTTACCAGGTGTGCTTGCTACAAAAAAAGGTTGCATGACATAACCATTACCAAGGAAATCGACTGTGATATTTTTAGTTTTTACTTAGGTCATTGTGGCAAGATATATATGACTGATATGATAAATTGTGTCGAACACTCGAAATAGAGGTGTTACAGATAGACGTTTGAGGAATGATGTAGAACGTGCAGTAGATGGTCAATTGGTCACATCGTAGTTATATGTTACGTAACCATCCTCAGTTCGTCTTGTGAGTCCTCGGCGATTAACAATACACTTCTGGATTACATGTGTCAGGTGTATGACTTCAGACTTAGTCCAGCTAAATCTAGATGCTATTTGCTTCCTTAGCTCCCATATGTCTGCGTGTTGACCGATTGTTATCTGCTCATTGACACTTACGGTGGTTTTGTCGCTTTTCAGACAAACAACGCCCATTTTTAAGTTTTCCAGACCCGACGCAATTTCGGATTTCCTTAAAACATGAGATGAACCTTGAAACAACTTTATTTATGGACGCATGCACGTAACCGAAACAAATATGTATTTACATATCAACTGAACGCGTTTAATAAATCGCTTCCCAATGTTATTTTTACACTATTTTCCTTAACTTACCCAAAACCGTGACAATTTATCGTTGGAGTTGAGAAGACGATGTGTGCTTGTTAAACTGATAGGTACCTGTATTTTAATGGTCCTTTAATTATACTGATTGATGGTCGTAAGTCTAAGTAGTCAAGATAAGATTATAGTTCAATATGCGTAATTGTTGACGCCAGTCTTTTCTTTACTCTAAAATTAAAATATGTTTTACTCTTTTGGTAGTGTCGGCCTTTTGAAGCGTGAAATATCATCCGCATGAAAGAAAAAATAAATAAAACGCTGCTTAATTCAATAAACGTTAGGCACAATTGATGCCATGAACAAGTACCTAGGCAGTTAGCTAGGTTTCTGGCTCCTAGCCATTCCCAACTAATTCCTATCGCTCGCTGGAATGCATGATGTGAGTCCAATTCTCTAATTGAATGCCATACATTAAAATCTCATTATTTAGCAGAATATCAAAACTCGACGTGCACAGCTGTGTATTCACCTGTGCACGCCGCCACCACCGTATGTGATGTCTGAAGCCGTCCGTCGTCACAGCGACGTCGAGCTTCGTCACGC